GATCAAAGCGATATTCAACATATCCTGCACAGTAACATACCCTGTCTCGATCCACTCTGGACTCACGCATCTCGTCATCATGCGCAGTCGGAACCGACAATTCGCGAATATAAAGCTGACTCTCCTCCTCGTTCGACGTTGCCAACTCAGTGAGAACTTCAAGCTGACATTTCACAGTTAATGACTGTGTATTGAAATTGTAAAAGAATATACAAAATAAATCGCAAATGTAAAATACGTACCTCAGGATCATCGAGGACAGTCGATAACTGTCTGACAAGCGGCTTGTCTTGTGCTCATCAGTGATGCATCCGAGGGCAGCATGTCTCTCCTCTCCTCGCATACCGACTGGCCAAGATGGGGACAGTCTCATACACTCATATCTGTAGCAATTACAATTATGATGTATAAAATTCAAGGAAAAAAAGCGTAGGTAATTCATTAACTTAAACATATACTTGCAGCGCCAACGGCAATCCATGTACATCGTACTTGCAATCGGGCTTATCCCCCTTAGGCATCGAAAACCGTTTCCTAAACACGCGTAATGTATCTAGAAAACATCTCCGACCCCATGGGTAGTTGTTGAAGGCATCAATGTCATCAACAACCTTCAAATGAAAAATGTCAATCGATGTCTTCTTGTGATGACACCGAAATATGCTCTCAATGATAAGCACCAAGCCCAGCTTCAACCTATTAGACATCTGATCACATCTCCTTAATGCATCTCCCAACTGCGCTAGGATAGCTGTCGTCTGTCCACGAAAATATTTATTTAACAGCCTCCTGTTCCTCGGAACACGGGCCCTCGCCTTTTCTTCGTCCGTACATCGCAATCCAGTGACGAGGGCAAACTCAAATATGGAGAACGTCGCTACCTTGTCCCCAAGATCAAAATGAAGGATGTCTCCGTCAACTGGCTTCAGCAACCAACAAAGCAGGGCATCGAGCAGCTGCCCAGACCTTTGTACATCACGCAACGAATACAATGACCATAAGCATGATCAACGTAACATGTTCTTGTGCTCGTCATCCAGCAAATCTAATACCAAAGTGAAGCTCGTAAAGTTACAATTTCACGTAACTTTACCGGGGATCTGTCTGACAACGTTGTCCAGATGATATTCCATTCTATAAAATTTCAAATATTAGAACTCTGTGCAAATAATGTTCGATAAACCAAAATTTTTGTTGATAGATAATTGATAAACAAAAATATTACAAAAAGAAACTAACACACTGCTACTATATGCAATAACCAAATGATAGCGGAATAAAGAAAATGAACGTAAATTACTATTTTCCGTATACTTAATTTGCTGATTTGATTGATATTTTAATTTCCTAATTTAGTTGCTTATTTTTATTATTGTACAAATGTTTAAATATTTATTTAAATTCTTTATGCATATTAATTATTTAATATTTAATTATCTTACTAACACTTATTTTGATCGTTTATTTTAATATTTTAATTGCTTATTTTAATTATTTTTCTAACACTTAATTTAATTTTTTATTTTTAATTAATGTTTAAATACTTATTTTAATTCTTTATGCATATTGCTTATTTGATATTTACAAATTTATTTTAATTGCTTTGTAAAAATTTAATTTGATTGATATTTTAATTTCTTAATTTAATTGCTTATTTTCATTATTGTACAAGTGTTTAAATATTTATTTAAATTCTTTATGTATATTAATTATTTAATATTTAATTATTTTACTGACACTTATTTTGATCATTTATTTTAATATTTAATTGCTTATTTTAATTATTTTACTGATGCTTAGTTTAATTTTTAATGTTTAAATACTTATTTTAATTCTTTATGCATATTGCTTATTTGATATTTAAAATTTTATTTTAATTGCTTTGCAAAAAAATTAATTTGATTGATATTTTAATTTTCTAATTTAATTGCGTATTTTTATTACTTTACAAATGTTTAAATATTTATTTAAATTCTTTATGTATATTACTTATTGGATATTTAATTATTTTACTAACACTTATTTTGATAGTTTATTTTAATATTTAATTGCTTATTTTAATCATTTTACTAATGCTTCGTTTAATTTTTTATTTTTGATTAATGTTTAAATACTTATTTTAATTTTTTATGCATATTACTTATTTGATATTTAAAATTTTATTTTAATTTCTTTGCAAAAAATTAATTTGATTAATATTTTAATTTTCAAATTTAATTGCTTATTTTTATTATTTTACAAATGTTTAAATATTTACTTAAATTCTTTATGTATATTACTTATTTAATGTTTAATTATTTTTTAATTATTTTACTATTACTTAACATAAAATAAGTAATTAACTTAAATTAGCAAATAATAAATATTTAGATAAATAATAAAATATTTATATTAAGCATTTCAAAGAAATAATTTTAAATACATAATATACATTAAAATTAAACAATTCAAATAAATAATTAAATATTAGACAACACAATATAAGCAATTAAATGAAATAATTAACTTCAATAATTAAAGAAAATAAATAATACGTAATTAAAAAAAATTGTCTGGGCCGTCGGGTGGCCAGGTCAACTCGACGCCTAGTTGACTGGGCAGTCTGGCGCCCAGACGGCCCAGTTTACTGGACCATCTCGGAGCGCCCGGGAGATCGTCGGAAAACTCCACTTTCGACGATCTCCACTCCATTCCCCCTCCCCCCAAAACTATTATCCTTACCCAAATTCCACATTTAAACCTTACACACAAGGATTTTTCAATACATGTATATAAAATCATGTTTTTTTCGAAAAATTAACAGAAAAACATGTTTTTTCTTGGTATTAAAAGCTTACATTTTTTAGAGAGAAATGACCAATTGGGTCTCCTATTTTTCCTTTTCTGTCGGTGCCTGGGTTAATGATGCTACAGTAAATTTCCTCTTTTCTTACTGTCTTCTCTCTCTTCTTGAAATGGCAATGGTAAATTTGGATTTTTCTTGGTTTTCAACATTTTAAACATTTTTGCCTTTTTTTTTAATTGGTCAAAGGCCTCTTTGGAAAATGGCTAGGTCAACCGGCCAATGGCCACTGTTTCCTCGTTAATTTGTCTAGATCCAGATAGGAGGCAATGAAACTCCTGCTTATTTCATCTGTTTGATTGAATTCACTTATTTTAATACATAATTACATACTTTTAATTTCACAAGCAATGTAATTGAGTCATTGTTAGAAGCAGCTTATAATTTGTGCTTAGAGAATATTAGCCCCGTTTGGCCATCATTATTTTCCATTAAATTATAATATATTTTTTCTATCTTATCAACCACACATTCTCCAATAAAATAATATTATATATAAACTCAAAAACTTTTTATTTTTTTTAACCATACATTATCCAAAAAATTACTATTCCTCTCATTATAATGTGGAATAATGGGGCCCAAACGGGCACTTATTAGATTCATCAGACTTAGCCCCTGTGTTGGCATTAATTTAAATCAAATTTTAATCTAAATTAAAGTCAAATAATCAATATTAATCACATATTTAACGAATTTATAACTTTTCAACCACACATTAATTTTTTTTTAATCAAAATCTACTATAAATTTAATTTTAATCCCCACCAATCTGGGACTTAATCTCCTATCTAAGGTGGATATGAGATATATTGCACATTGCACACCACTGATTTTTTTGTTAAACAATTGACTTGTAGTTGTTGGCATAGCATTGGACAGGATATCTCCTAGTCATTGTGGCTAGGAGATTAATTAACGTCAAGTTAGCAGTCAAGCCTAAGATCTTTGACAATTCAATGGTTGACTTGTTGACGTAGTGTTGCCACTTCATTGGACGTGATCTCCTACCCACAGTGGGTAGGAGTTATCTTGCCATTGGTAAAACTTATGCTTTTTGACAAATCAACGATTGACTTACTAATTTAGCGTTGACACGTCAGCAATGGACAAGATGACGTTTCATATAAATTTATTGGTGGATTTTAAACTTAATTAAAATGTTGAGATCAACAATAAAATTTATCCACGATAAATTAATTTTTTTATTCTCAATGTTTAAATTAATTTAGTTATTTATCATTGGTTTGGATTGATGTATTATGTTATCTTGCGTGGGTAAGTGGGGTGGGAGGACAATTACCATTCTTGTTCCATAGAGTTTTCCGGACGTAAGCAAGAATTTAATAATTTTCATTTTCTGTCCTACATATTTATTTTTCTAGAAAAAAGGGGCTCATAGAACCCCTCAAATAGGCACTACATCTACATAAAATTATTTATATTTTATTTGGCGGTTGCATATTGATAGGATGGACTAGTCAATTTGAAGTGGTAGGTGAGTAGGTACGTGGGTGTGTGCGTGTGAAAAAATATTTTTATTTCACATGTTAATTGCCCATATACTTCTACATATTTTTATTAGGAGCCAATTTCCAAGAAAGGTCTATGGGAATATAAAATTCGTTTTTGAATTGTTAAGATTATCTTTGACTGGATTTGAATATCGAACGTAGAATATTTTATAGCTCTAACGAATTAAAAATATCTATTGTTAGGTGCACTCATGGTTGACACAAGTGGGGAATGGACGGATGATGACATATTTAAAATAAAAATTAAACTTAGCTTCGACTTGGTTTAACTAAAAATCATATTCATAATAGATTTTGATAAAAATTAGTGAAATATGAAATTGAAAATTTGAGGATTAAATAAAATGTATAGTTAAAAATATGTTCAAGTAAAAAATGGAGGCCAAACAGGGACTTCATGAGATTACGTAAAAGCCGAACAAAGTGAAAGTTAACTATACCATAAGGGTTAATAGAATTGATCTTTTGTTTACAGTGGGTAAAAGATATTTTGTTCACAATTGCGTAACAACGCCACGTCAATAATTCAACTATTGAATTGTTAAAAATTATAGAACAAAATATCCACTAAATCCTCGTTTGGCTCCCATTAAATTACATTACATTCTATAATATATACATGTTTGGCACTCAAAAGATACAACCTGTATTCGTCTTTGATCTGTTGTAGCATTCACATTTCTCAAACTCTCTACTCTCCATTAATGGCGACCTATGGAAACCCTGCAGTCAAACCATTCATTTCGTCAAAGCTGATTGACAATAGAGTCGCCTCTTCTTTCAAATCAGGCGGCAATGTCCACTTTTTGCAGTCAGTTTCTTCCCAGAATCTCAAGATTTCGACAGATTATCAGAACTTCTCCAGCAGATCTGGAAGCCTCAGTACCAAAGCATTCTTCTGGGATATTTTCAAACCAAAGCCCGATTCTTCGAGATCAAGTAAACAACCTAATTTTCTTACATTGAATGATCGAATCCATGTTTGACTAATCTTTTGAAAAAAATTAAACTTTTGACTTGATTTTTCAGCTAAGGTTCAAGAATTGTATGTCTACGAGATAAACGAGCGTGATCGTGGCAGCCCGGCGTACCTGAAACTGAGCCAGCAGAAAGATGTAAACGCTCTCGGAGACCTGGTGCCATTCTCTAACAAGCTCTACTCCGGCGACCTCCAGAAACGGCTGGGCATCACGGCGGGTTTATGTATACTAATCCAACACGTGGCTGAGAAAAAGGGTGATAGATATGAGGCCATATTCAGTTTTTACTTTGGCGATTATGGGCATATTTCGGTGCAGGGTCCGTATTTGACCTACGAGGACACGTTCATGGCCGTGACTGGTGGCTCCGGCGTATTTGATGGAGTGTATGGGAAGGTAAAATTGCAGCAGATTGTGTTCCCATTTAAGTTGTTTTATACGTTTTATTTACAGGGCATTAAGGATTTGCCAGCTGAGCTGGTGGTTAAGCCGGTGGCACCCACACCGGCAGCTGAGCCGTCGGCAGCTGCTAAGGCGACTGAGCCTGGTGCCGTAGTTTCTAACTTCACGAATTGAGAATATGTGGAGTAATCCATCATTAGCAAGTTCAAATATTTATTTCTTAATTATGAATGTATGAATTGGTAGTTTGATGAAAATTTTATGCAATTCATGACGTTTCAATAATTTCCAGTTCATGGATTTTTCTCTAATAATTAAGAGTATTGGAATTTGTTTATTAGGAGAACTAGAACACTGTTTGTTCTTCAACTATAGTTAAAATTAGGGTATGTTTGATTGCGAAGATGGAATTTGGATGAAAATAAAATGAATTCCAGGGAATTGAATTACCTAGAAATTGTTTTCCTGGGAATTGTAAATTATTGTGTTTGATTGGTATAATTTTTCATGCGAAAAATGTTGAAGTAAAAGTGTATTTTGGTGTCCGTTTGTCTTTATTTTACATGGAAATTGTCAATTTAAGGGATATCCACTTCTACTATTATTCCTAGAATTTGTTTTCCTAACCAAAAAAAAAAGATAAAAAAAGCATCTATATTTTGGTGTTCGTTTGGTTTTGTTTTATATGAAAATTGTTAATTTTAAGAATATCTTCTTTTACAGTTGTTACTAGAATTTGTTCATTGTCAACAATTAAAAAAAAATAAAAAGCAAAAAAAAAAAGGTGTAAAACCGAAAATCATCTACGCCTAGGAAAGTAAAAGGTGGAATATCACGCTTTAAAGTGTTATACTTAGAAATTCATGGAAAATCAATTCTCTGGAAAATTTTGTCAATCAAACAGACCAAAAGTGGAAGTTGGAATTTGAATTCCAAGTTCTATGAAAAATTTCGTGCAATCAAACAGGGCTTTACTTATTGGTTTTAATTTAGATTTTTGTCAACTTCTTTTAGTTAAATCAAACGGGAATTAAAATAATTTTTTTAGTAGATTTTTATAAGAGTTGATTAAAATGTGTAATTGAAAAGTTGTGGATCGATTAAAATGTGTTATTATAATTAATATTTACTTTAACTTGAGATGAAAATCAGATTTTAATTCATACTAAATGTTTAAAGCACAACAGTGGAGCAAGCTAAGTTGTCCCTCTAAAATGAAAGGCATTCTGTCCATCTCTGTGAGACTGAGCTATTGGACCAAAAGGCCCACTAGTAAAGTCGAGCCAACTCATTAACCGGCCCATTACAAGCCTGGGCCTGTTACTGATCTGAGATTTTCAAAGAACAAGATTTGACTCTACTAAAAGTATGTACGGGAATGTTTATAAACAATTGTAAATGAGTTATTAAAAAAAATGGATTATACTTGTAAGTTTTATAAAATATGGATAAAAAGTGATTTGATAAAAAATATTTATAATTTAAAGTGATTATAAACAATTTTAAAATATACTGTAAAATATATTTCATTTTTCTAAGTCTTATAATTGGACAATTATTTAGAGATTGTCTTTAAGATGGGGGAAAAAACTAACGAGTATGGATCATAAAACTCATAACATACATGAACCTAGGATAGAGCAATGGAAAAATGAAAACATTGGCTTAGAACATTTTTTTGAGAAAAGAATCCAAATGTTAACTGTGGAAAATCACCAAGAAAATCCTCTGTCAATACAAAATTAAAGCATAACAATAGCTCTGGTGCCACAACTTTACAAGAACATTAACAAACAACATATTCTCCCGTGGATAGGTTTCAAAGAGATTGGATTAATTTTTGAATATTTCTTAATCGACTGAGAGAACGAGAGAGAGGAGAGTAAGGTTAGGGTGGTGACAAGACGGGTCAACCATTCCCACCTCCGTCCCATCGGGTGTTTTTATTATCTTACCTCATACTCATACCTAATTAAAGCGGGACGGGAAGGGGCAAGTCATCAGCCCCATTTTTTTCTTTTTATTTTATATTTATTTTATTTTTTCATGTCCTTAGTTAGTAAATATTATTACTTGTTTACCAATTTGTTAAAAACAATTTATGTTCTCTTTCAAAATGATGATAAATCTATTATTTTTGTTCAATAAAAATTTAAATTTGAAATTAAATTTAAATGGGACAAATAGTAGGGTAGGGACTATGTTTCCCGTACCCATACCCGCTTCGGAGCAATAACTCTCGCCCCATACCCATCCCATTACCCGGTTAGGCGGGTAATCCTCGCCCCATTTGGAGTGGGGCTCCATGGTTATTGGGTTGAATAGGTTTTTTTGCCATCCATAAGTAAGGTTTTGAACGTTGAAGGGCTGGGAGGAAAAAATAATAAAAAAATAAAACCCTTTTTATTTTACATTTTAATTTACAGGATTTAATTTGAATAAATTTTACATTTTATTAATACTATTATTAAAACTTAGGTTCCATCTTAAAAAACCAACATTATTAAAAGATGCTGCACAAATCTTTATATATTTGCTTATATTTCTGTAATTAGTTGATACGAAATTTATCCTTAACAAATATTGAGAATTTTAGGGAATGTTACCTTGTAATGTATTGGCCCTAGCTATTTTCCTAAGCTTTAAAATGTATGTAGTTTATTTACGTGCCAGCCATCTTTATTCTATATCTTTTTAATCGCATGTTAACAAAGTACGTCACTTATCTTGCCCAAAACAGTACGTCTAATAATTATAGATCCCCATAGGAGCCAGCCAATGAACCTGCAGCTACTTACAATTTATATTATCTCTTTCATTTTCAGTACTCACAGCACAGAATTGACTTTTGCACACACTACTTATCAAACTCATAAATCCATTTATAAGGATAAATATGAGATTTTGTTTCTCATGAAAATGTAATGAGCTCCAATTAATTTCCAGCTCGTGGATGTAACATTTATACTTGGTTAATTAGGAGTTTACAATTTTTGTTCTATAGGAATTTCAGTCAATTCAAGTAATGAAGTTATCATTCTATTTAAAACTATTGTCCAGGACTATCCATGATATTCTCGATTAGGTGTAATGATTCAGTACAATATATCTCCTAACAAATACCTGTCATCATTTCTATCCAAAATGATACTCTTATGTCAATTCTCACAATCACATGGCTATAACTCGTCCTTAATAATTAAAATAGACTTGCATGAAACAGTGTGTTCAAGTAGTTATCGAAAACATTAACTTAATACTTTTCTAACATCTCAAAGGTTATCTTTTAGGGATTCAATAAAGTTAGAACCGTGCTACAGTGTCTGCATGGATGATCGTGGGGTTGACATAATATACACACAGGGGGGATTGTCATTATTTTATTCATGGGAGACCCACTTTCGACATGTGAGGGCACGGTCACCTATAGAATCGTTTGGCTATTTCCATAATGTTATAGGGTTCAAAAGGTTATTAGTGAAAACTTTGAGTAAATTATATTATTGGTCACTTAACTTTACGTTGGTCCATGTTATTTCTAGCTGTCTAATCTTCAAAATGTAATTCAATGGTCCCTCATATTTGCATCGTGATATCAATCCATTAAGCCCCCATTTGGCCCTCAATTTTTGGTAATGTAAATGGGAGGAATAGTGTTTTTTTGAAAAGTAGGTGGTTGAGAAAGAAAGAAAAGTTTTTGATTTACGTATAATATTATTTTATGGAAGATTGTGTAGTTGAAAATAAAAGAGAAAAATAGAATGTAATGAAATGTAATTTAATGTGGGTCAAACGAGACTAAGTATACTGTCTTGATGGAATTGTTGATGCGCGCATTACAAGAATTAAAAGTTTTCAAATTACCCAAACACATCTCACAATGTCCAAACTACATGAAATGTACAAACTGACAAGACTAGCAACTACTTCATCATCACAATCACAATTTTGGCTCTTGTAAAATTAATAAAGTCAATTTGTTTTGTCCTAACCCAACCATCTCACTTAAATTGAGGCCCCATTCCATCAGAATGAAATTTTCTATTATTGTGATCAGGCTCAGGCTTGACATGATGTATTGACTATTGAACTGCGTTTGTTTATAATATTACTTGTTAATGCCCCAAATGCCCCTCCTTTTTCCATGTACGAATTCTTCCATTTTATAATATGTCCAAAGGGGAGAATCTTAGGGCAAAACTGGCTAATTTAGTGCAGTCAAATGAACAGAATTTTAAGGATCAAAACTCGCAAATTTTCAAATTGTTTAGGTTGGATCCGAAGCAATAAATCCCTTTTTCTTTAAGAAAACAAGCACATACGTGCACTTCCTTTGTTCTTTACTAAGACATGCTAAATAGACTTCTCGTGTTTGAAAGGTGGACTGCGAAATTTGATAACGATAAAAATTATGAATTCCAAGTAAGTAAAATAGAAATTCTATACTATGTTCTATTGCTATAAATATGTAGATGCACTATGTTCTATTTTTGAAAATCATTGTAGATATTAGCATGTTCTTAGAACATAAATGGCTTATTCGGTAATATGTTATTTTCAAAACAGCTTCACTTTGGTGTTAATTAGAGGTTCAAATTTCTAGGCTTTAGCAAACAACCTATTTATTTTATCACTATCTAGTCCATAATGTCAAACTTTGTAGCTTTATGGATGCAAATGTTTTTGAGCAGTCACCATGTCTCTATACACACACACACAATGACCATCGTTCACCTCTATATAATGTGACACCTTCCCTATGATAAACCTTTAATTTTTTGTAAGATTCTTAGCAATTTGATATTAAATTTGTATTAGAGTATGTAAGATTAAGAGTTTGCACATGAAAGATTAAGAGTTCGATGAATTACATTATTGAAATTAGTGGAAAATTGATTGTCGAATATTGAAAAGTCTCGTGACATTGATTGAACTACATGGAAGTTATAGGAATATAGAAGGGTAAAAGAGAATTTTACAATATATATTTTAGTGTTATTTCTATAAAACTTTTTGAGTAATAAATGCACGTGTAGAGTCGTACTTTACAATTTCTTTTTTATTTCCTTTTTATGAGAATTTATTAGCTAAAGACATCAGTGTTAGAGTTAGGATTTGACTTTGAGTCGCAATAACTCATGCTACTCTCTAACTTCTTGATTTTTCTTCACGACCGACAATGGTCTTCCCTTATAATCAATTTGCCATTTTTTCTTTACCATCCGATATTCTATAAATCCGAACTACAAAAATCTTTGGTACCATTTTCTTCTTGTTATGTCGATGATTAATATGTCATCAGAGTCACCATCTTTCTTGACCTTTAAACACAGTGAATCCACCTAAGGTCATCTCTAGCATCACACCAAATCTTGCACCAAACTAAAATTCATCGCCAACCATTATATCAAAACTTACAACAAATAAACAATGTTTAACCATTTTCTTCTATTTTTTATTCTTAATAATATATTTATTTGAAATATTATTTATTAAATTATTTTATAAATTCATAAAGTACTAAATAAATAATTGCGTTAAATTAAGTAAAAAATTAAATTCATTAATAAATATAAAAATTCATTATTTATTTAATTGTTTTAATATATTTGGTGTTAACTTTAAGAAATAATTGTGTTTGTTATATTTTTAATTTTTTCTTCTTTTAATTAATTCATTAATTATTATTTTTTTACATTTAAAATTTATTTTAAATGCAAATAATAAAAAAAAAAAAAAAAAATTTTATTGTATTAAAAAATATATAGCACAAATGACAGATACCATTAATCAATTTATTTGGGAAATGAAAAGAAAGTATGAAAATGACTTTGGACCCTTTGCAACAAACTGGTGCAAAGTATTGTGTTGCATTGGAGTTGTTTTGCCCCCAAAAAATTGGTGTATTTTTGTGTTTTCGGGATTCATTAGAAATGGCCTAACAAAATCTTGTGTATCTTTTTCTTCTTGTTTGTAAGAATACTATTTATTCATCTATTATCAGCTTAAAATAGTTTGTGAAGCAAATAGACATACATTTAATTGAACAACTCAACTACCCTTTTTCTTTACCTTTTTCCATTTTTGGGACACCAAAAATTTGCTACATAACTTACTTTAAGGTATTAGAAAAGGCAATGATTTTGCATATTCAGCACCTAGAATAAAACATCCATCAAGAAAACTGGAAGACAAGATATTGCTGGATGTGAGTGATTATTAGCTTGGCGTTAATCACTCAAAGAAAAAGGAAACAAAAGGCAAAAGTGTGATACTTGCATGAATGCCCAAATCAATGCAAGTGTATGTGTGTGAATATTATTAGAGTCAGACGAGAGAATTGAAATGAGGGATGAAAACAAACGGAAAAGATTTAAATGCGAGCCAAAAGGCCTTGATATGATGTTGATACTGTGCAGTGTGTAAGCAAAGGGCAAAGCCATGCACATTATTAGGGTTAAAGAAGGTAAGAACAGGCACTCTGAAACATATTATGTTGTATCTGTTTGTTGTTGGTCTGAAAAGGTAAAAGGTAATCCTTTGGGTGGAACCCCAAAAACAGAAACTTCCAGTGGTCCATTGTTACCTTCTGACAAAGCCCTTCATCAAAGTGTTAGTAGTTCTAGTCTAACATCTGAGAAAGACTCGCTCTCTTCTCTCTTAGATATATATAAAATGAATATGTGTGTGAGAAAGACTCCAAGAAATCTAATGCAAAATGTAAAGCTAATGAACAGTATATCCTGAACCTGTAGTACACTGCAAACATGTCTGCTCATCTGCTATTTGTTTGCAGTAGGGTGAATTTACTTGACCATCTCATGCATCTCTCTCTCCTCTTTTTCTATGTCTATCTCCATCTGTGTTTATTTCTCTATCTGAATATATAATTAAGCTTGATGTATTAAACTCAAAATTTTTAAGTAACTTTTTTAAAAAGTTGATGAAATGCGTAGTTAAAATTATAAGTCCTATGAAATGTGTGATTAAAATTAATTGCTAATTTAACTTGACTCCACCAAAAATAGGCTAAATTAAAAAGGAGACTTTAATCAGAATCATCAGGTAGTAATTAAACTGGCACTTGAAATATTAATGCATAGAACCATGGCTTTCACTGTACTATTTGTCTTCTTCCATTGTCTCTCTCTCAGAAACACGCACAAAAGCCAAGCAGTTACTAATAAATCCAAGTTGTAAATTGAAAACAAAGGGTTAATTTTTTTCACATGGTTGAATTTCAATTCAAACCTGCAGGAACATATCCTCCATTTCTATATTCTTCATCATTACCTTCTTCGTCCTCTTCTTCTTCACCCTCATGAACATAGGAGTAGAGGTTGTCACTATGCGGTGCATGGCCATCTCCAAATGAACGGACATGATCTTTGAGTGATCTTTTGTGCTTGAAATCAGAACCACAGATGCAAAACCACAGCTTCCCACAATTCTTCTCATGGGTCCTCCAATCGCCCCGGACGGCGAATGGTTTCTTGCATTTTCGGCATCCAAAAGGCTTCGAACCGTGCTTTCGTTTGTAGTGTGTTTGGAGTGTCCTAAAATCCTTCAATGGCTTTGAACTTGGGTGCTCTATGTTGTTCTTGCAACCCTCAGCACAGCAATAGCAAGGCAATCTCAGTATAGAGGAGGCTGCTTTTGTTCCTCTAAGTGATTCCGGGCCCTTTCTGTATTCTGATCCATGCCCCCACATATGCATCTGAGAAAAAAATTGGGAGAATCTAAAGGAAATTAGGAGAACATGAAAAACAATTTCTTGTGTCAGTTTATCTTGGGAAAAAAAAAAAAAAATTCAATGGCTAGTACTCTTAAACTCGAATTGCATATCAATTGTCTGGGAATTGTCCCTCAAGATTTACCAACAATCTTTTTGGGAATATCAGTAAGATGATATCTAATTACCCTTAATTCTGTATGACACATTCCTTGAGGTGAATCGAACAAAATAAATCTAAGACTAAAGAAGAAAATGAAATTCAAATTTATTCATCATCCTCCGGCCAGTCTACTATTGCGTATCAAACGTGTTTATATATAATATCTAAGGCATGAGGGAATAGTCAATTAACTTTATATATATGTGTGTGTGTGTGGCAAACCTCAACAGTTAATCAGTGTCTAAAAACTTGTAAAATATTTATATTCTTTTCGAATAAAATTCAAAAGGTTGTATATTAATTCAATTTCTTCTGCATAACTATGTAAAGACATTTATGTAAGTAGACGAAGTAAAAAGAAAAAGGATTAAAAAATTGAAGTGAAGATAGGCATATTTGGAGAAAAAAATCATGTGGTAACCCTAAATTTCAACAAAAATCTCAGTTCATTCCATCCACTAAATATAGTTTAAACTTCAGAGCACATAAATTAACAAGTCAGATTTATGAACTAAAATGTCAGCAATTAAGAATAAAAAACATTATCAACTAAAAGGGAAAAAACACATCATGAACAACAATGTCAGAAATGAACTAAATCAAGAACCTGCATGTTGTTATATCTGTTGAAAGTCTTTTGGCAGACGGAGCAAGAAAACTGGGTCGGACCAACAAGGATTTGGGCCGGTGTGGGAATCCAATACTGCCCTTCAGCATGTCTCCCCATTTCAGTAGGGTTTCCGGAAGAAGTGGTTCCTGAATTACTATTTGGTGGACCAATATGAAGAGCCACTGTTACTCCAATTTCATTTCTGTTTTGGAAGCTCTGGGTCTGGTTATAGTCATGGTATATGTTGTGGTACTTTTGGCCTGGAGGGCCAAGTGAAAGTAGGGTTGAATCATCATCTTCTTCATCACAGAAACTCTCACTAGAAGATATAATGTATGGAGAGGACGAATGACTGCGCATGGCGATATAGTTTATGATTTTGGGATGGCAAAACTTTAATGTTTAGGTTTTGGGGGAGAAAAGTTTTAGGCAGTAGACAGACCATAAATAAACAAATGTCATTTGGAGAGAGAGAGTATGTATGTGTTTGGATAGGAAGGAGACAAAGGATGCATAGAATGATGTTCCAGGATGAGTTGAGTTCTGCTGTCCATTTTACTATTAATCTAATTAATTCTTGACATGTCACCAATAATTAACTAGTTATTTCAAATTCATATTCATTAACTTTACCACTAACCCACTAAATTGATGAAGTATCAAAAATTAATTGGATAGATAGTAAAATTGGACCGTAGATTTTGACTCGTACTGACGCTACACCTCTTACCTCACAAATCACAGTTTGAAGAAATTGCAACTGGGTCCTTATAAAGACCCTCATGGAATAAAATTTAAGTGAAATTTTATCGTAAATTTTGGTAAAGAATTCAATAATAGATGATTTAAAGTTTTATAACTGATTATGTAATGTTATACATAATTTAAACGTTTATAAACGAAAATTTATCAATAAAATTGCACATCTTTAAATTCATAAACTAAAACATGTTAAGTATAAAAATTATACTAAAATGTTAATTTAATCTAATATATCCTTGGTTGTAATAAAATACCATAATATCCCTTCTACGTTAATCCCATTATAATTTGGAGAAAATATTATCTGATTACTTTATTAGACAAGAATATCATAATATCACTTTCGATCATTCGATATTTACTTGTACTCATAAATAACTATTTTATTGAAAAATTATTGTATATATGTATATAATTTTTAAACTTGAGGGAATGTGTGTAGACTCATAAACCTCACGTCTCCTTAAAGTGTGTATATATATGATGAAGATGACATCCTTGTGATCTCGAGCGTAACATCTTCCAACTTTATATTTACAACAAATAAGTAACTAACCATCTCCTTGAATAACCAAACTGGGGGTGGGGGAGGGGGTAGAGTGAGAGCAATATATATATATAGACTCTTCTCTACGATGTAGTGAGGTTGTTTAACCTAATTATACTATATATATATATAGTGTCTTTTGTTCTTACCCCGTTTGGTTTAGATAAAATTTATATTTTTAATTTGTAAATTTTAATAAAAGTTAATTAAATGTGTGAAATTAATTCGAATTAGTAGGTTTGCTACGTGTAAGATAGGATCTTAGTTGCAAAAACATAAGAAATCAAAGTATTTTGGCCCTCTCTCATACCAATCCGCAAGTTTACCGACCACACATTGTCTACTCTAATCAAATTCGTTCTCGAACGTTTCTCAAAAAATCTGATTGGTGAAGCGCCTTCTACTTCTAATAGGCCTTGAACAAAATCAGAATCATTCTCAATGAGTCCATAAGAAGTTATCCCATTTTTTCATCGGGTCCAAGTGAATCGAAAGTTGGATTTATATTGGATCTCACCTGAATCGCCCTATCTATCCTCCTGAATTCTCACTATATCTTAGATTCATGGACCCAATTCAATTCAGTGGGATCTTTCATTCACATTTTTTTCCACCAACTCTACTGCGATGACGATATTGTAAGAGAGGTCATGCGGAAAAATAGCTCGACATTACAAATAGTATGCCCTAGCCCATTCGTGTATTTTTTTTTTGTTTTGCACCCCGATTTTTTAATTGTATTCCATAAAAATTTTATTCACAAATAAAAATTCAAACAGAGTTTCATTTTTTGAGTGAAGTTACACAATTTGGTTCGTATTATTAGTTTATGCTAAATGAATCGATTGATAGTAATCACGAGATGGATAAATTCGCATTGAACCCACAAATGGTTGCATTTTTTAGTTACATCGAGATCATTAGATCTTTTCTTAGAGTTAAATCACTAGTAAAATTATGTTTAAATTTTTTATATTTTTTTTGGGTTGCTAACTCAATGGTAGAGTACTTGGCTTTTTTCCTTGGAGATGGAAAATTCGGCCATCGAATTTTATCAACTTGCAAATTCTGCCTCAGTTAGTTAAAAGAATGAAATTTCAGAAGTAATACTACTCCTAGACATCCTAATATAATACCTAATCCCAAAAAGATTAAAAGAAAAATCATGTATTGGTCCAGGCAAATCCATTTGTTGAAAAGCTGTGGATCCTATAGAATGTATGGTTAAAATTAATTGTTGATTTTTACTTAAATTTTAATTTAATTTTTTAGTTAAAAATAATTGATACGTTTTGTTTAAATTTATTATTATGCACAATTTACTTTTTTTTTTTTTAATAATTGACAGGAAGGGATGGTACATCAAAATATTTAAGAAGTATTTGAGAAAAATGATTCTAATACCCTTAATAATTTTCTCTCAAAGCTATCATCCATACCCTAAACCTAAAATCAAAATCAAAATGCTTCAAATACTAGAAAAAAAAAGTAATTAATTATCACTACATTTATTATTCAAAATTAAATTATTTTTTAGTCATTTATACTCTTCACTGATTACCAAATATATAACACTTATTTTGTCTTCATTCTATAAAACTCAATTTTTCCTCAACCTATTTTTAATTACACATTTTCTGGGATCCAAGAATTTTATTAATTTAAGAATAATGTATTTTATCAATTTTAATTAAAAAATTTACTGAAAATCTAGTTTCAACTAAACAAACAGGAAAATAATAATAATGATTTCAACGTTAAAGCAAGTACAACATCAGATATTCAGTATTATCTGCCGTCATCAAAGGTCACGATTCAGTGTACTGATTTGACGTCTTGAAAGGATATGCCTCTTTTTACCCGTAATAACAATGGACAATTTTAAGCACTCCACTCCACGGAATCTATTTATGTTGTTAATTAGATATTTTGGAATCAAATCTACATATATTGCCCTAGCCCCATTTTTGGGGAAAAAAAATAAATTTTTGAATAGTGTATTGATGAAAAATGTGTGATTAAAAAAATAAGGAAAAATTTTAGATTTACGTATAATATTATTTTATTGAAGAATGTGTAATTGAAATAATATCAAAACACTGTTGAAAAATACATTTTTTCAAAAGAATGGAGCTCAAACAAGGGCATAACAAACAAATAATTGCGAGGATTATTATCATTCCAGATAATTTAACCATGCACTTGTTGGAAAAAATGAGTAAATGACTCATTTTTGACACAATTTTCGATGGGATCTGTTAGTTTAATTTGGAAGATCAAAGTTGATTCGTGTTCTCCTCCGTGAGAGTATCAAAACCATATATTTACTTGCCAAAAATGAAGTTCGGGTGAATGAGAAATTGGAACTCAAAAGTTCAACAATGGAAAATGGTTTATGTTGGAAAAATTGAGTTTGTCCCACATAAAAAAATTATGAAAGCAATAATCACTTTAAATATTGTTGCACATTGGAAGGTGTAATGTGTAGCACAGGGGCTTTCTTTACGTGCACGCGCAGGGGGTGCAAATCGCGGATCGAAATAGCTTTCAGACCTTGAACTTGTGTGCGGGCGCGACCTGTGTACTCAAATGTCGGACCGAACGATGCTTTGCTATAGAGTTAATGACAGATTTATCTATATAAATTCTCATTTTCAGCAATTCCAAAACACACGAAAATACTGCATACACAAAATACAGAGAAAAAATTTTCTGCATCAAAGTGTGTTCAGTATGTCTGCATACAAATTTTTTTTGTCAGCGTCGTCTTGGCGGTGATATTGTTCGGATATTAATCAGTTCACCGGAGTAGTATTTGTGGTGCTCAGATTCTACTGGTTTGCCATTGTATCTTGGAAAACAGACGCTCGGGTTAAATCTCAAACACTTACCGTGAGAGGACGAATCTGTTTTAAGAAAACTGTGCTCGCATGGGTCTCGGGTTGAAAGTTCATCTGTTTTTTATATATTTCTGTGATTTATTTGTGTGATTCATATAACCTACAGTTTAATTATTTTGTCATTCCATTTATGTTGATTAAAAATTAATTTGCTTTATTTGGCAAACTAGATTAGTTGATCAAATTGATTTGTTTATTCCATTGAAAATTAAATCTGCTATATTTTGTCTTGTTCACTGCATATACGGTGTTCTGGAATTCTAGTATGTGTAAGTGTAAATTCGATATCTAAAGACAGTATATGCATATACGGTAGGCAGCATATACGGTATACTAAACTGTTGCATTTACGGTATGCTATGCAAATACAATATGCTGTAAATACGGTAAGCATAAATCCAACATGTAAAGTTCATATACGGTATGAAGGAATCTGATTTCATCCACTACACTAAACTCAAGGCCTTCCCTTTGCTTGTAAATGCGGTATATGTCTATAGATTTTGGTTTGAAAATTATACAAACCTTGATTAATCATGATAGTCTCAATTAATTCTATGAAATTAAATGAGATGACTTGTACAAAATTAATGTTGCATAAGAGTGACAAAATGTGATTTTGTCCTAATCATTTTAAAGTGGAAATTGCTTACCCAATTATTCAATGTTAACGCAAATCCACTGGTGGATTTTGAATCTTTTATATCAGTATTCAATTAGAATCACTGTATCCTTCGATAACCGCTGGATATTTGGTATAATGTAATCCATAGTCACAAGTATATTTTAAGTACCTTAGTATTCTTACTATTACTTTCCAGTGATCAGCTCTTGGGTTACTCGTGTATCTACTCAGTTTTATTGACTGTGTAGGCTGTCTAATCTTATACAACTCAACAAGTACATTAGACTTTCAATAACTCTCGAGTATTCTACTAGAGAGTGAGAGACACTTTCACCTTTGTTTTTAGATAGGTGTTGACTTGTATCTATTGAAATTCTAGCCAAACCAGTATCATCTTTATTGAACTTTTCTAAAATTTTATCCACATAATGTGAGTGACTTAGAACAAAGCCTATCTGATATTCTTGAGATTTTGACTCTAAGGATGACATCAACTAAACCCATATCTTTTATGTCAAATTTCGAATTTAACATATTCTTAGTGGATTCAATCCTTTTATTGTCACTACCAACAATAAGCATTTCGTCAACGTAAAGACATAAAATGACATAACTAT